CCATATACCAGAGACATTTTGTGGGGGTGGAGTGGGGAATGGAATAAAAAACGGGGAGGGGGGAGGGAAGTGCACTGGACTATGGTGATGACACATGGGTGACTTGGTGATGGGAAATCCACGGGGATTACAATTTAGATGAAAAAAATGTACAAAATGATATAAAAATAAACTATTATATTAAAAAAAAGGAAGGTAAAATAGGTAGAGTTTGCTACATTAAGAGTTGATCATGAATCCCAAGTCATGACAAAATTTACAAGGAAATGAATAGATTTTGATGAAAATAAAAGTAACTATTGGAAACTAATTTCTAACTAAACCTAGAGGGGATAATGACACATGATGGAGCCTTATCAAGTTACTGAAGCCGTCCTCCTTCCATAGGGGCCCAGAGTCCTCCATCCACCATGCTATGCCACAGGCCCCACGCAGGAAAGTCACAAAAATGAGATGCTCAGCCCTGAAGCACATTATTTCCATGCCACTCAAGGAGCAGGGAGGACTGCAGGGTGACAAAGACCAAATGGATTCATGCAGAGGAGAGGCCCCACCACAGGCCCCGGAAACACCAAGCGATGCTTGCCCAGAGCCCCCCTAGCAATCAGCAACATGGAGTGAAAATACAGCAAAATGTGGAGCACTTCTCCTGGAAAACTCCTAGATGTGAGATGACACAAAAGAAGCCACACCCTGGTTCACTGATGAGGGCAGGGGCAAACAGCATGTGCCGGGTGCAGGTGAGCAAGTGGCTGGAAGCACAGCAGGGCAGGGGGCGGAGAAGTCAGCTGACACCCCCTCGGTAAGCAAGGGACATGCAGAATTTCAGAGTTTAGTGCACAGTCGGCCTGGCAAGAGGCTGGTGTGGGAAGAAGCTAGAAGATGAGGCTGAAGCTTGCATGGGGGCCTTGGACGTAAGTCGAGAAAACACCCCTGTATCTCAAGATACACCGAAGTCTCATTTAAGTGCCAACGCAAAGCCGCACTGCCACTCCAAGCACAACACCTGACCCAGAACAGCAGCATGAGCACATATGGCTAGAGCCTGGAGGTGGGGGCCAGGATGCCTGGGCTCACATCCCCCTCTGCCACTCAGAAACCACGCAACTTCCACCCAGTTATTCACTCAACTTATGTATTTGTTTCCTCACTGGTGAAAGAAAGCCTACAGGGCTGCTCTATAGATGAAAGGGAATAATGCTTTCAAAGCAGACCATTTAAGGGTCGGATCTTCTAGTTCACAGAAGGACCAGGTTTCTGTTGAAGAACATAAAGACTGCATTACAGATTTTATAGAGTCAATATTTAATATTGAAGTGTTATATTTTATCCTTCCTACCAT